TCATTTGATACCCTCATCACCTTACTCTTTTCTATGTTCACTTTCAACTTTCTACCTTTACACACATTCCCAAACTCATCCACTAAACTTTGCAATTTTTCTTTAGAATCTCCCATAAGCACAGTATCATCAGCAAAAAGTAACTGTGTCAATTCCCATTTTGAATTTGATTCCCCATAATTTAATCCCACCCCTCTCCCGAACACCCTAGCATTTACTTCCTTTACAACCCCTCTATAAATATATTAAACAACCATGGTGACATTACACATCCCTGTCTAAGACCTACTTTTACCAGGAAGTAGTCTCCCTCTCTTCTACACACCCTAACCTGAGCCTCACTATCCTCATTAAATCTCTCTATAGCATTTAGTAACTTACCACCTATTCCATATACTTGCAGTGTTATTTTATATGTTTATTTAAATTTATTAATACATAATTGAACACTATATTTGTTGTGTGTATGTAAAACTATAATTAATCTCTATAAAATGTTTTTTTGTTTTTTTGCATGAATATTTTTGGGTTTCTGGAATGGATTAATTTTATTTCCATTATTTCTTATGGGTAATATTGCTTCACTTTTCAGACTTTTCGAATTTAGGACTAACTCCTGGAACGGATTAAGTTTGATATTTGAGGTTCCACTGCAACAAAATTAAATTTTGTTATTCTCATAATCTTTTTTTTTATTTTCACTTTTAATTTCTTTCTTTTATATGCCCTCCCAAATTCCTCCACCAACCTTCAAAACTTCTCTTCAGAATCTCCCAGAAGAACAGGTGTTACAACTAACTTTTCATATCAAATTGATTATGTTTCAGTCACATGCCTCTCCATAACTCCCTAGTATTTATCTTCTTTACAACCCATGTATGAATATATTAAGCAACCATGGTGACATCGCACATCCCTGTCTAAGGCCTTTGAAAATAATCATGTACAAGTACATATACAAGGTATACAGACCTAGCTGACATCAGTGACATAATACTGTATAGACAACCCCTTGTTATGCAGAGCATTTTGGGCAAATTAGGTCAGTTTTGTCCCAGGATGCGACCCATACTAATTGATGGGTGAACATGGACAGCAGGTGTCTTATGGAAATATGTCCTAATGTTTTCCAACCATACCAAGGATGACCCCTTTTCCCCTGGACCTCAGTGTGTGAGCTGAGTGCACTAGCAATCAAGCTACAGGACACTTTTCTGTTCCTTTTCTGTACCCATAAATTCATCAAATAGTTCCTTACCTTTATCTGAGTATTGTTCACTTATTTGCTTCAATGCAAATGGTTTATGCATCCCCTACCATTCCTAAATCCTTCTTGTTCTTCTGCAATACAAATTTCTGTCTTACCCCTAATTCTTTCACTTGACCCAATATTCTCGACAGGTTTGTTCTCCAATAGTTTTTACATTCTTATTCTCTTTACTGTATACAAAGGAACCATGCATGCTCTCTGCCAGTCCTTAGGTACCTTCCCTTCTTTCATGCATGTGTTGAACAAATACACATACCAATTAAAACTACATCTCCACCTACTTTAAACCTTAGTCTTAATCTTATTTGTACAAGCTGCTTTACCCAGTTTCATTCTATCCTTTGCCAAACACACTTGCCCTACAATCATCTCTGGCTGTTCCTTACTCATTTTTTTTTGTTTTCAACAAGTCGGCCGTCTCCCACCGAGGCAGGGTGACCCAAAACAGAAAGAAAATCCCCAAAAAGAAAATACTTTCATCATCATTCAACACTTTCACCACACTCACACATTATCACTGTTTTTGCAGAGGTGCTCAGAATACAACAGTTTAGAAGCATACACATATAAAGATACACAACATATCCCTCCAAACTGCCAATATCCCAAACCCCTCCTTTAAAGTGCAGGTACTGTACTTCCCATTTCCAGGACTCAAGTCCGACTATATGAAAATAACCAGTTTCCCTGAATCCCTTCACTAAATATTACCCTGCTCACACTCCAACAGATCGTCAGGTCCCAAGTACCATTCGTCTCCATTCACTCCTATCTAACACGCTCACGCATGCTTGCTGGAAGTCCAAGCCGCTTGCCCACAAAACCTCCTTTACCCCCTCTCTCCAACCCTTTCGAGGACGACCCCTACCCCGCCTTCCTTCCCCTATAGATTTATATGCTTTCCATGTCATTCTACTTTGATCCATTCTCTCTAAATGACCAAACCACCTCAACAACCCCTCTTCTGCCCTCTGACTAATACTTTTATTAACTCCACACCTTTTCCTAATTTCCACACTCCGAATTTTCTGCATAATATTTACACCACACATTGCCCTTAAACAGGACATCTCCACTGCCTCCAACCGTCTCCTCGCTGCTGCATTTACCACCCAAGCTTCACACCCATATAAGAGTGTTGGTACTACTATACTTTCATACATTCCCTTCTTTGCCTCCATAGATAATGTTTTTTGACTCCACATATACCTCAACGCACCACTCACCTTTTTTCCCTCATCAATTCTATGATTAACCTCATCCTTCATAAATCCATCCGCTGACACGTCAACTCCCAAGTATCTGAAAACATTCACTTCTTTCATATTCCTCCTCCCCAATTTGATATCCAATTTTTCTTTATCTAAATCATTTGATACCCTCATCACCTTACTCTTTTCTATGTTCACTTTCAACTTTCTACCTTTACACACATTCCCAAACTCATCCACTAACCTTTGCAATTTTTCTTTAGAATCTCCCATAAGCACAGTATCATCAGCAAAAAGTAATGGTGTCAATTCCCATTTTGAATTTGATTCCCCAAAATTTAATCCCACCCCTCTCCTGAACACCCTAGCATTTACTTCCTTTACAACCCCATCTATAAATATATTAAACAACCATGGTGACATTACACATCCCTGTCTAAGACCTACTTTTACCGGGAAGTAGTCTCCCTCTCTTCTACACACCCTAACCTGAGCCTCAGTATCCTCATAAAAACTCTTTACAGCATTTAATAACTTACCACCTATTCCATATACTTGCAACATCTGCCACATTGCTCCTCTATCCACTCTATCATATGCCTTTTCTAAATCCATAAATGCAATAAAAACTTCCCTACCTTTATCTAAATACTGTTCACATATATGCTTCAATGTAAACACTTGATCTACACATCCCCTACCCACTCTGAAACCTCCTTGCTCATCCGCAATCCTACATTCTGTCTTACCTCTAATTCTTTCAATTATAACCCTACCGTATACTCAGTAAACTTATTCCTCTATAATTTTTACAGTCTTTTGTCCCCTTTCCCTTTATATAAAGGGACTATACATGCTCTCCGCCAATCCCTAGGTACCTTCCCCTCTTTCATACATTTATTAAACAAAAGTACCAACCACTCCAACACTATATCCCCCCTGCTTTTAACATTTCTGTCATGATCCCATCAGTTCCAGCTGCTTTACCCCCTTTCATTCTACGTAATGCCTCACGTACCTCCCCCACACTTATATTCTGCTCTTCTTCACTCCTAAAAGATGGTATACCTCCCTGACCAGTGCATGAAATTACTGCCTCTCTTTCTTCCTTAACATTTAAAAGTTCCTCAAAATATTCTCGCCATCTACCTAATACCTCCATCTCCCCATCTACTAACTCCCCCACTCTGTTTTTAACTGACAAATCCATACTTTCCCTAGGCTTTCTTAACTTGTTTAACTCACTCCAAAATTTTTTCTTATTTTCATTAAAGTTTCTTGACAGTGCCTCTCCCACTCTATCATCTGCTCTCCTTTTGCACTCTCTCACCACTCTCTTTACCTTTCTTTTACTCTCCATATACTCTGCTCTTCATATAGCACTTCTGCTTTGTAAAAACCTCTCATAAGCTACCTTTTTCTCTTTTATCACACCCTTTACTTCATCATTCCACCAATCACTCTTTCCTCCTGCCCCCACCCTCCTATAACCACAAACTTCTGCCCCACATTCTAATACTGCATTTTTAAAACTATTCCAACCCTCTTCAACCCCCCCCCATCACTACTCATCTTTGCACTAGCCCACCTTTCTGCCAATAGTCACTTATATCTCACCCGAACTTCCTCCTCCCTTAGTTTATACACTTTCACCTCCCTCTTACTTGTTGTTGCCACCTTCCTCTTTTCCCATCTACCTCTTACTCTAACTGTAGCTACAACTAAATAATGATCCATTATATCAGTTGCCCCTCTATAAACATGTACATCCTGGAGCCTACCCATCAACCTTTTATCCACCAATACATAATCTAATAAACTACTTTCATTACATGCTACATCATACCTTGTATATTTATTTATCCTATTTTTCATAAAATATGTATTACTTATTACCAAATCTCTTTCTACACATAGCCAGATTTTATTCCTTCTTGTTAATTGCCTGATGGTACCACCTCCCTTGCATCATCAACATTTAACAACTCAAAATATTTTCTTAATCTTTCCGACACTTCCATCTTCCCACCTAACATCTCTCCTCATTCATTTATAACTGCATGGTCTTTGCTCTCTAGGCTTTCTCAGCTTATTAATGGGTGAGTCTAATAGCAAAGTTTGCTAATAGACTCATCCATTCTCTTATCGTCTCCTTCACCACTCATTTATCCTCTTATTTCTAACCATATACTCTGCTTTCCATATATCATTTTTATTTTTAAAACTGATAAGCTGACCCCAGTAGGGTTTGAAAATTATTTTTGCAAGACTGCATAATTATGATGACTTCTGTATGTTAATGACACTGCATAATTGCAATAGCTTCATTATATTAAGTAAATGTTTTGTTATAGGACCACAGAATTATGATAACTTCATTTTGTTAAGAAAATGGATTTTGTAAGACTGCATGATAATTTCATTTTGTTTGAAAATGTTTTGCACTATGGTACTAGATATTTATTAAGTAATGAATTTGTTGTGAATATTTTAAGAATTAAATATGTACATTATTTCAGACTTGGTACAATAATGTTTGGGCTGATAGCCATCTATTATGTGGCTGTGAGCTTTGCTGAAACTGTGAAGAGTTCTGCACCATTATTTACTGTTTTAATCGCCTATTTTGTCTTAGGTAAGTACTTTTTTCTTTTATCTTTGGCGCATTAAAGTCAACAAATCCTGTTCCTGTTTTGCAAAAACCTCATATACATTGACCTAATTTAATGCAAAAGAAATATGATTTCCTGATTTAATAATATATTTTTATTACTTTTTCTTTTTTAACACAAGGCCATCTTGCACCAAGTTGTATCCTTATATTATCAATATTCAAAAATTTGGTAACCTTTGAGTTAGGTGGCAAGTTTTACTGTTATTTGTCTTTTTACCCTAATTTGCATCTTCATCATTCTTTCTCTCTCAGTTGTATATATTTGGCTAAGAGAGTCCCATTCTTTCAATGTATTCTTTTTCATCAGTGAATTAAGTTGCCACTTTTTTCACAGGCAGTGTATAGTAGTCAAGCCAGCATGTGGAATCATTAAGTAAAAGTTTTGTATGTCCTTTTAAATGTCATTAAAGCACGGGGGCAGTTTAGTCATTTACCCCTAAAAGCAATAAGATATCAAAATAACAGATTTCATATATAGTTTTTACGTTAATGTATTAAAAATTTAATTGAGAGAATACTGCAGTGATGAATGTGAGGTTAGGAAAATTACACTACACATGTACTGAAATTATTATTTTTTAAATGTTTTTTATAAACATTTGAACTAAAATAAAGAAATAATTTTTAGCTTATTTTCTTTTTCTTTACTAAAGAAATTTAAATAACTCAAGTTTCATATCTTTTCAGGTGAACGAACAGGTGCATTTGTGTTCTTTTCACTGATCCCAGTCATGCTTGGATTAGCACTCTGCTCTAGTAATGAACTTTCATTTAGCATAATTGGATTCCTATGTGCCTTGACAACAAACCTATGTGAGTGTGTGCAGAGTGTAGTATCTAAGTCACTGCTCTCCAATAAAGCCTACATTTACAGGTGAGCTTCATAAGTTGCTTTCACACTTGAAGTCACATTGTCTACAAATTTTATAATACAATAGACTATCACCTTTTGTGCCTCCACCTACTGTGTTTCTGCCTGTTTGCAATTGAATTTTTGTATCTATTTCCACCTTTCATTCTGAAATTTCACTGCCTATTGCAGTCACTACTATTTTTTTTATCATGTCAATTTTGATAGTTAAACTGTAAAGGTTCTGTTTGTTAATTTTTTTTTTACCAGATTCATCCACTCATACTGTGTGTATGCTTATTTTGTGCATGTATTCAATTGAGAGCTCAGATTTGTTTGGTAGAGATTGATCAACAACCATGGATTTTATATTTAAATTTTTCTTAAAGATGAATTAGTACCATTAATTTTTCCTTGGTTAGTTTCTAGCCAAATGCATTTATACTTTGTGTATGATCACTCTTGTAGGTAGTAGGTTGGTAGACAGCAACCACGCAGGGAGGTACTACCGTCCTGCCAAGTGAGTGTAAAACGAAAGCCTGTAATTGTTTTACATGATGGTAGGATTGCTGGTGTCTTTTGTCTGTCTCATAAATATGCAAGATTACAGGCACGTCTTGCTACTTCTACTTACACTTAGGTCACACTACACATACATGTACAAGCATATATATATACACACCCCTCTGGGTTTTCTTCTATTTTCTTTCTAATTCTTGTTCTTGTTTATTTCCTCTTATCTCCATGTGGAAGTAGAACAAAATTCTTCCTCTGTAAGCCATGCGTGTCGTAAGAGGCGACTAAAATGCCGGGAGCAAGGGGCTAGTAACCCCTTCTCCTATATATATTACCAAATTTAAAAGGAGAAACTTTAGTTTTTTCTTTTGGGCCACCCCCACCTCGGTGAGATACGGCTGGTACGTTGAAAGAAGAAGTATGATCACTCTGTATATGCAAAGAGAGCTCACATTTTCTTGTAAGAGATTGGTCAAGGACCACAGATTTAATAGTTGAAAACCATGAGTGACTGAAAGGAGATGCTCAATGCTTGCCATCTTGAGACACTGTGGTGAGGTGGCTGGCTGTCTTGCACTGCTTCTTCACTGTCCACCCACCTACTCTTGTAGTCACTCTGTTTTTTTTTCTTTTTAACACCTTGTCTTGTCTCTGGATATTAACCATGGAATAAAAAAGGAATACTAGATACTGGAGATGCTAAAAAGAAAACTGTGAAGAAATAAAACCCTCCATGTTGTATTAACCATGTTCATTTTCTCTGGAAGGAGTATCTTCATTTTCCATGGAAGGAATACACAATAACTGTGTCAAACATAAGCTTCCCACTGTGCTTTACTTAAGTAAGTTTATTAATATATTTTTTTTACTTAGGTTCTGGGTACATATCATACAATATTTTACAATGTTCTTGATGGCACACACATTATGAACACACAAAAAGTATATAATGTAAATTTAACCTTGGATAACTCATTTAATATTGTACACATTTGAGAGTTTAAACTTCATTTCATTCAGCTAGGACTAGTAGGTCAGCATAAACCCTCCCCACACATTTCTAGATCAACAAAAAACAACATCTACAATGTAAATTGCCAAAAACATTATGAATATTGATGATTTAAAAATAGAAAGAAAAAACTCATGACTTTTTTCAAGGTGTCATGGCACATAACCCAATTTTTTCACATATGTTGTTCATTCCACCCATCACGTCTTCACATACAGCTCCACTTTTCTGGGGCCTAACTGGCACAAAAGGTGGTTGTCTACTGTATTTTTTTCCTAGCCTTTTCTATGATTTAGTAATTTTCATTCTCCAGGAAAACATTGTGTGAAACAGCTGCTGCTTTTATTGAATGTAAAAGATTTTTACATCTGTTAGAAAATATACAATAATATTTCAGCATATACCAATACAGTAGGACCTCTTTTATCCAAAATTGTCTGGATCAGAGCTTATGTATCTTGGTTGTATTTTAAGGTTTAAATAAGACAAGTCACCCCGTTTTTGGTGGGAAACGGCCATATTAAAAATAAAAAGACGTGTTCTGTTGCCCTTACGATTTATTTTTCAACAGCCCAGCAGAGCTGCAGTTCTATCCCAACCTGGCTGCTGTGTTGCTGCAGTTTCCAACTTGGTACTTCTTGGTAGATTTTGATAAATTATACAATCAACTGGACCATAACCTCCTTTCTGCTATTATTCTGGATGGCATATCTTTCCATGGACAAACTATTACTGCGTATGTTCTTATGTCATATGTGAATCCTGTTACATACAGGTAAGTTGTGTATTATATACAGTCATCTACCTATTAGGTAGATATCTACCAACCTACTACCTAGGTAGTAGGTTGGTAGACAGCAGCCTCCCAGGGAGGTACTGCCATCCTGCCAAGTGAGTGTAAAATGGAAACCTGTAATTGTTTTACAATGATGGTAGGATTGCTGGTGTCTCATGAACATGCAAGATTTCAGGTACGTCTTGCTACTTTTACTTACACTTAGGTCACACTACACGTGCATGTACAATCATATATATACACATCCCTCTGGGTTTTCTTCTATTTTCTTACTAGTTCTTGTTTATTTCCTCTTATCTCCATGGGGAAGTGGAATAGAATTCTTCCTCTGTAAGTCATGCATATCATAAGAGGTGACTAAAATGCTGGGAGCAAGGGACTAATAACCCCTTCTGTATACATTACTAAAGTTATGAAGAGAAATTTTTTTCTTTCTTTCTTGGGCCACCCTACCTCAGTGGGATATGGCTGGTTCGTTGTTAAATATTTTGCACTGGTAGGATTGTAGTAGGCTGGTAGACAGCAACCACCCAGGGAGGTGCTACCGTCCTGCCAAGTGAGTGTGAAACGAAAGCCTGTAATTGTTTTACATGATGGTAGGATTGCTGGTGTCTTTTGTCTGTCTCATAAATATGCAAGATTACAGGTACATCTTGCTACTTCTACTTACACTTAGGTCACACTACACATACATGTACATGTTTATTTATACACACTCATCTGAGTTTTCTTTGATTTTTATCTTAATAGTTCTTGGTCTTATTACTTTTCCTTTTATATCCATCGGGAAGTGGAATAAGAATCTTTCCTCCGTAAGCCATGCGTGTTGTAAAAGTCAACTAAAATGCCGGGAACAGTGGGCTAGTAACCCCTTTTCCTGTAATAATTACTAAAAAGAATAAGAAGAAAATTGTCAAAGTGGGAAGTCTGAATGTGTGTGGATGTTGTGCAAATGATAAGAAAGAGATGATTGTGGATGTTATGAATGAGAAGAAGCTGGATGTCCTGGCTTTAAGAGAAACAAAGCTGAAGGGGGTAGGAGAGTTTCAGTGGAGAGGAATAAATGGGGTTAGGTCAGGGGTTTCAAATGGAGTTAGAGCTAAAGAAGGAGTAGCAATAATGTTGAAGGAAAAGATATGGCAGGAAAAGAGGGACAATAAATGTATTAATTCAAGGATTATGTAGAGTAAAATAAAGGTTGGATGTGAAAAGTGGGTTATAGTAAGCGTATATGCACCTGAAGAGAGAAGTGTAGAGGAGAGAGAGAGATTTTGGGAAATGTTGAGTGAATGCGTGGGGAGTTTTGAACCAAGTGTGAGAGTAATGGTGGTTGGAGATTTCAATGCTAAAGTGGGCAAAAATGTTGTGGAGGGAGTAGTAGGTAAATTTGGGGTGCCAGGGGTAAATGTAAATGGGGAGCCTTTAATTGAGCTATATGTAGAAAGAGGTTTGGTAATAAGTAATACATATTTTATGAAGAAGATGATAAATAAATATGCAAGGTATGATATAGCACGTAATGAAAGTAGTTTGTTAGATTATGTATTGGTCGATAAAAGGTTGATGGGTAGGCTCCAGGATGTACATGTTTATAGAGGGGCAACTGATATATATTGGATCGTTATTCAGTTGTAGCTACAGTTAGAGTAAGAGGTAGATGGGAAAAGAGGAAAATGGCAACAACAAGTTAGAGGGAGGTGAAAGTGTATAAACTAAGGGAGGAGGAAGTTCGGGTGAGATATAAGATGGAGGTTTTGGGTAGATGGCGAGAATATTTTGAGGAACTTTCAAATGTCGATGAAGAAAGGGAGGCGGTAATCTCATGCACTGGCCAGGGAGGTATACCATCTTTTAGGAGTGAGGAAGAACAGGATGTGAGTGTGGGGAAGGTGCGTAAGGCATTACGTAGAATGAAAGGGGGTAAAGCAGCTGGAACTGATGGGATCATGACAGAAATGTTAAAAGCAGGGGGTGATATAGTGTTGAAGTGGTTGGTATTTTTGTTTAATAAATGTGTGAAAGAGGGGAAGGTACCTAGGGATTGGCAGAGAGCATGTATAGTCCCTTTATATAAAGGGAAAAGGGACAAAAGAGATTGTAAAAATTATAGAGGAATAAGTTTACTGAGTATGCCAGGAAAAGTGTACGGTAGGGTTATACTTGAAAGAATTAGAGGTAAGACAGAATGTAGGATTGTGGATGAGCAAGGAGGTTTTAGAGTGGGTAGGGGATATGTAGATCAAGTGTTTATGTTGAAGCATATATGTGAACAGCATTTAGATAAAGGTAGGGAAGTTTTTATTGCATTTATGGATTTAGAAAAGGCATCTGATAGTGGATAGGGGAGCAATGTGGCAGATGTTGCAAGAATATGGAATAGGTGGTAAGTTACTAAATGCTGTAAAGAGTTTTTATGAGGATAGTGAGGCTCAGATTAGGGTGTGTAGAAGAGAGGGAGACTACTTCCCAGTAAAAGTAGGTCTTAGACAGGGATGTGTAATGTCACCATGGTTGTTTAATATATTTGTAGATGGAGTTGTAAAAGAAGCAAATGCTAGGGTGTTCGGGAGAGGGGCTGGGATTAAATTATGGGGAATCAAATTCAGAGTGGGAGTTGACACAGTTGCTTTTTGCTGATGATACTGTGCTTATGGGAGATTCTAAAGAAAAATTGCAAAGGTTAGTGGATGAGTTTGGGAATGTGTGTAAAGGTAGAAAGTTGAAAGCGAACATAGAAATGAGTAAGGTGATGAGGGTATCAAATGATTTAGATAAAGAAAAATTTGATATCAAATTGGGGAGGAGGAGTATGGAAGAGGTGAATGTTTTCAGATACTTGGGAGTTGACGTGTCGGCGGATGGATTTATGAAGGATGAGGTTAATCATAGAATTGATGAGGGAAAAAAGGTGAGTGGTGCATTGAGGTATATGTGGAGTCAAAAAACGTTATCTATGGAGGCAAAGAAGGGAATGTATGAAAGTATAGTAGTACCAACACTCTTATATGGGTGTGAAGCTTGGGTGGTAAATGCAGCAGCGAGGAGAAGGTTGGAGGCAGTGGAGATGTCCTGTCTAAGGGCAATGTGTGGTGTAAATATGCAGAAAATTCGGAGTGTGGAAATTAGGAAAAGGTGTGGAGTTAATAAATGTATTAGTCAGAGGGCAGAAGAGGGGTTGTTGAGGTGGTTTGGTCATTTAGAGAGAATGGATCAAAGTAGAATGACATGGAAAGCATATAAATCTATAGGGGAAGGAAGGCGAGGTAGGGGTCATCCTTGAAAGGGTTGGAGAGAGGGGGTAAAGGAGGTTTTGTGGGCAAGGGGCTTGGACTTCCAGCAAGCGTGCGTGAGCTTTGTTATATAGGATTGAATGGAGACGAATGGTACTTGGGACCTGACGATCTGTTGGAGTGTGAGCAGGGTAATATTTAGTGAAGGGATTCAGGGAAACCGGTTATTTTCATATAGTCGGACTTGAGTCCTGGAAATGGGAAGTACAATGCCTGCACTTTAAAGGAGGGGTTTGGGATATTGGCAGTTTGGAGGGATATGTTGTGTATCTTTATACGTATATGCTTCTAAACTGTTGTATTCTGAGCACCTCTGCAAAAACAGTGATTGTGTGTGAGTGTGGTGAAAGTGTTGAGTGATGATGAAAGCATTTTCTTTTTGGGGATTTTCTTTCTTTTTTGGGTCACCCTGCCTCGGTGGGAGGCGGCCGACTTGTTAAAAAAAATATATATATATATATATGGGACATACACAGATGATAGCCAAGAAATGAGTGAGATACTAAAGTCCCAATATGACTCGGTGTTCAGTGAGCCACTGCCCGGACTAAGAGTCGACAATCCAAGTGAATTCTTTATGAACGAAACCGTGCTGTTACGTCGTTGACTCTGCTGTTATGTCGCTGACTGTGTTGTTATGTCGCTGACTGTGCTGTTACGTCGCTGACTGTGCTGTTACGTCATATATACATGTATATATATATATATACACTAGGTAGTAGGTTGGTAGACAGCAACCGCCCAGGAAGGTACTACCGTCCTGCCAAGTGAGTGTAAAACGAAAGCCTGTAATTGTTTTACATGATGGTAGGATTGCTGGTGTCCTTTTTTCTGTCTCGTGAACATGCAAGATTTCAGGTACGTCTTGCTACTTCTACTTACACTTAGGTGACACTACACATGCATGTACAAGCATATATACATACCCCTCTGGGTTTTCTTCTATTTTCTTTCTAGTTCTTGTTTATTTCCTCTTATCTCCATGGGGAAGTGGAACAGAATTCTTCCTCCGTAAGCCATGCATGTTGAAAGAGGCGACTAAAATACCGGGAGCAAGGGGCTAGTAACCTCTTCTCCTGTATATATTACTAAATATGAAAGGAGAAAGTAGGTAGTAGGTTGGTAGACAGCAACCATCCAGGGAGGTACTACCGTCCTGCCAAGTGAGTGTAAAACGAAAGCCTGTGATTGTTTTACATGATGGTAGGATTGCTGATGTCTTTTGTCTGTCTCATAAATATGCAAGATTACAGGCATGTCTTGCTACTTCTACTTACACTTAGGTCACACTACACATACATGTACACATTTATTTATACACACTCATCTGAGTTTTCTTTGATTTTATCTTAATAGTTCTTGGTCTTATTACTTTTCCTTTTATATCCATGGGGAAGTGGAATAAGAATCTTTCCTCCGTAAGCCATGCGTGTTGTAAAAGTCAACTAAAATGCCGGGAACAATGGGCTAGTAACCCCTTTTCCTGTAAAGATTACTAAAAAGAATAAGAAGAAAATTGTTTTCTTTCTTTTTTGGGTCACCCTGCCTCGGTGGGAGACGGCCGACTTGTTGAAAAAAAAAAAAAAAAAAAAAAAAAAAAAAAAAAAAAAAAAAAAAAAAATGAAAGGAGAAACTTTCGTTTTTCCTTTTGGGCCACCCCGCGTCGGTGGGATATGACCAGTGTGTTGA